AGGATAAAGCTAATCAGAACAGAACAATGACAGTGATACAGGACTTCAAAACAAGAGAATAGGAAATTAATAATGGCTACCATAATGTTTCTTGTTTTCTTTAAAATAGCTATCCATACTGTCAGACATAATAAAATCAAACAAAACAGAATAAAACCAATGAAAACAAAACAATGAAAGTATTACAGAACTTCAAAACCAGATAGCACAAAATCAACCATGGCTACCATAATGTATCTTGTTATCTTCAAAATAGCCTCCTACATCATCAGACACAGTAAAATCAAAAAAGCAAGACAGAATAATATTAAACCTAACAAAACCATGAAAATGATATAGAACTTCAAAACAAGATATTAGGAAATTAACGATGGTTACCACCTTTCCTTTTCAGACATTTCCTCCCATATCACTTTCACAATATCTACTGTACATTTTGGATCCCACTAACTCCAGGTTTTTATGCTCACCTATATGAGTCTGAACCATTTCACCCATGAGCATGATCTCAAATTTCATCCACTTACTTACAAGAGCCTCACAATTACTCTACTTTTCGGCAGAGTAGCTTTTGATTATATAAAAATATCATAAAAATACCATCTTTCTTATCCATTCTGCAGTTGGTGGACAAGCTACCCCTGCTTTTTCCTGGTTCCCTGCCACATAAAACAACTGTTTTCTCTCCTTTGACTTTCAGTCTATGAATTTTCTTTTGAGTGAAATGTGTTTTGTGTGTACAGCACATTGATGGATCTTGTTTCCTGATCTACTCTCCCTGTGTTTAGAGCACTACATTAATGGTTAAACTGGCATGCATTGTCTCGCCCCTGCCATGCTGTCTTCCTGCTGTTGTCCCTCCCTCCCTCCCTTCCCCTCCATTCAGTTGCCTGCTCTGTTTATCAGCCCCCTCTAATGCTGTTCCTGTTCAATGATAAAACTAGAATATCACTTAGCACTCTTTGTAGGGTGGGTTTGTCGTCATGAGTTCCTTCAGTTTTCTACATCATGGAAGTTTCTTATTTTTTCCATCAATTTTTAAAGACAGTTATACAGGGTACATCAATCTGGGTTGGAACTTGTTTTCTTTCAGGATTTGCAATTCTTCACTCCAAGCTCTTCTTAACTTGATGGTTTGTGCTGAAAAATCCACTATGACTCTGATGGGTTTTCCTTTCTAGGTGATCTGTTTCTTTTCTCTAACAGCTTTTAATATTCTGTTCTTGTGCTGAATTTCTGGGATCTTGATTATTAAATGTCTGGGTGTGGATTTATTTTGGTTATGGCTAGTTGGAGTTCTGTATGCCTTGCTTATCTGTATTCCAGGTTCTTTTCCCATGTTCCAGAAGTTTTCTGCTATTACCTCTATAAGTAATCTTCTTATGTCATTTCTGCTTTTTCGCTGACACTTAGCACTCTTTAATTATTTTTCTTTGCATTGTCTTATAGCTATTGAATTGATATTTCCTGGTTCCTTGTTATTTTCAAGAGAGTGTTTCTTTCACAATCACTGGCTGCCATCCTGTCTTCAAGGTCTGAAAGTCTACCAGTCTTTTTCATGCAGTTTTGCCAGCTTTCAATGGAGATTTTAATTTCCTGGATATCTCTTTGAATCTATTCCATGCATTGTAATTCCTTCCTACATTGTTAATTCAAGGTTTCCATCATTTTCCTATGTTCCTCTTTTTAAATCTATGTCTTTTTTATATATGTTCAGCAATTCTTTCATTCTGTTTGTCATTTCTTCTTTTAATTGAGATGATATTTCTGATCTGATTACTTTTACAGCCTAATGAAGTTGATTTTTTTTTACTTCAGTTGTTTGCTATCCTTTCAGAGATTTCAGGTGTGTGACTTCCATTTTCTTCTATGTTTATGTCTCCCAGACTTGTTTTGTGTGGGCTGGAAGTCTGGGATTACCTTTTGTCCCTTTGTCTTGATATTCTCCTGGGTTCCTCTCCACAAGCTGGTAGTGAGGTCAAGGCACTTTCCACATTGGCTAACCCTCCTCAGTGCCGGTGAATAGGCCAGGTACCTGGGTTTCTCCAAATCCAGGTTTCAGGGGAGACAGTGGGGTATATAGCACCTTCTCCAGACCCATCCAATTACGCTGAGGCTTCCCTGATAGTCATGGGTTCGTAATGGTGGGGCTGCTTCTTCTCTCAACCTGCATGGCAACACTGGGACTCCCCTGATAGTGCACAGGTGCACAGGAATGTGTTTGTCTGATTCTCCCAGCCCATGTTGGCTACCTGAGGGAAGCAAGCATCTCCAATGGTTGGCTGTGGACACACAGGGCATATCTGGCTGTTTCTCCCTGCCTATGCTGGTTACCTGAGGGAATCAAGTATTCTGATGATGGCAGACATGCAGGGGCAGGTCTGGCTGTTTCTCCCTGCCCATGCTGGCTGCCTGGGGGAATCAAGCTACCCTGATGGTGGCAGGTATACCACAAGCTTATTAAAAAAAAAATGACAACAACTAACTACCCTGTTAAACCAGATGAGTAAAACTTTGTTCCTTCTAGGTAAATTGTCTTACTTGAGGTCCCTGGCCCAAGATCTAAAATGACTTCTATTGGTTGTTTTCCATTTCTTTTGGGGTCCTCCTGGATGATTCAAAAACTGCCTCTAAGAGAGATAATACACAGTGATTACTTGCATAAGACCTTGAAGCTAATCACATCCTTCTCCTATTATCAACAGCTACTAAGAAACTGACCTACAGCCTAGACCACTGATGTTGAATCTTTACGAGCCTGAGTACCAAAGTGCAACATAAAGCCCACTTCTTTATCACAAACTATAATTAAACCTGAACACTGATATTTTAGTTTAGGGGGGAAAATCTCTACATTAACATCTTTTTCTTAAAAGAAAAGGGGTTGCCATACTACCACTGGCCTAGATGAACTTGCCCAGCATACCACCATCCTTCAGGATCAAGTAGGCTCACTGGTAGTGACAGTCAAACAATATCATAGGTGACTAGATCTCCTGGCTGCTAAACAGAGAAGTTATGTTTGTCTCTAAAATAAACATGTAGTTCCTCTGTCAATCAGTCTGAAATAGCAAGAGATGCAAAATGGTAACTATGCTTGTAACATCCATAATTGAGTCAAGGATCCTGGCCAAAATCTGGAACTGGGGGTCCTGGTTACTTCGTAGAGATGGTCTTTATGAATGCTTCTTGTAACCTTAATATTTGGATCTTACAAACATAATCTCTTAATTAAATTTGTTTCTTCTTGGTGATTTTAGGCCCTAACCTAAAATCAGCACTTGCCTCCATGTCTATTTGTTTTCCAGGTTGGTAGGGCCAATGTCCCTATTCAGTGGGAAGTAGCCACAGAAGATATAACTTCCTTCTTGTCACCCTTTAAAGATTTTGGGGGCTCAAGGTTTTCTTGGGTGTGGGGGGGGAACGGCCCAGTTAGAATCAGGGGAGCTGAGGGATTCATCCCCTTCCACCCATTTAATTCTAAACAATGCTCTACAGCCATTTCTCCTTCCATTGTTCAAAAAGAGGCAGAAAATAAAATAACAAAAAACCGGAACGTCTCTGATGTTCCAGACAAAAGCACACATCTATTGGATCCCCTAGACCGACATCAGTCACTTGTCCTTACTCCCACCCATTAGGGATTCATAAATGCTGTTTATAATACATATCATACATGTAATTAAGATCACAGTGAACTATGGGACAGGAATGTACTGAGAGCCTCTAAGATGACTCAGCACTCTGTCAATCATCCCAGTCAGTCACACCTAGGATTCTGGGGATGGCCCCTGGGCTGAAGTACCAATCCTTTAAATTCCAAAAGCCTGACTGATCCAAGGCTGTTGCTATTTCTGTTTCTGTGTATTGTGACCTATGTGCAGTGCTTTTACTTTTCTGTTACCCTGACACCATTTTTCCATCTGTGCCATATCTTTGTTGGCATGGACTTATCCTGAGCGCAACTTTCCATGACTTTCAATAAATGTAGCTGCTTGCTACTTGCTACTTGATGTAAACTTGCAATTCATTGCTCATCATACACAAGAGCCTAGACTATGCCTGCTCATGCCATGTAACAAATGTATAAATTCAGTAAGCTCAGTGATCAGAATAAAGCCAAAAAAATGTGTGGATCAGGACTCCAAAAATACACACAAAAAAAATCTGTGCATCAGGACTAAACTTCTGACAAAGGCAAAGAAGAGCCAGAAATGGTGGCACACATCTGTAATTCTAGTACTTGGCAGACTGATACAGGAAGATTACCATTTTTGTACCTAGCCTGGGCTACAAAAAGAGGCCAGTCTGAACTCTGAACTACCTAGTGAGACTATTTCAGAAAAAAAAATCCCAGAGATAAAAAATCATAAAAGCAGGACCAACACTTTATCTATGAGTGAAGAGCAATTCAAATGACATCAGATTTCTCATCAGAAGTCACTGAGGCCAGGAGGAAATAGCATAATATTCTCTGAAGGCTCAAAGAGAAAAGTCAACTGCCAATCCTGTACCCAGTGAAACTGTCCAAGAAGGAAGGAAGGAATCCAGACATTAAGGAATAAAGAAAGTAAGGTGACCAAACTGTGATAGAAAACAACAATGTTCTAATGAATCTCTAAGCAAATTCAAGGTGGAGGTATTGACACCTTGAGAATCACTGCATTTTTAAAAGAAATTTCAAGAGATAAATTTTGATCTCTTAGTCTTAAAAAAAGACTTTCTATTAACAAATAGAAAACATTTTCCTTCTTGAATAAAGCCTATCAATTTTATACTCGAAGACTAGGGTTTGGAGTGAGTGTTGCATGACTTTGCTGTGTAGGATACAAAGGAGAAACTCGCTGAAAAGAAAATTTCAGAGCTGGGTGTGATGTCATGACCTGCAGTGCAGCTATGCGGGAGGCTGAAATGGGATGATCATCTGAGCTGAGTACAAGGCCAGCCCAGGCAACACAGTGATACACTAGCTTAAAAAGTAAAATAGAACAGTAACTTACCTCAAATGCATACGCTTTTCCGATCCCATCACCTGCTCCAGTGATAACTGCAAAAGGCAGGAACAGTTTTAAACAATTGAATTTAACTTTTCTTAAAGATAAGTTGAGTATAGATTTTCTAGGGCCCTACAATCCCTTTGGGAGTTTTGGCATCCTCAGTCTTCCATAGGCTATCCTGTGGGGTGGGGGTGGAAGGAAGACATAACTTGACCTTTAGAAAGAACCTTGGAATATTCTTAGGATGAACACAAGGCCTGTAGGGAGAGAGATAACAGGCTGCTGGCCCAGTGGCTATACATTTCCTTGCAACATTAGGACACTTGATATTGCAAAACAGCTTCACTCTGTTCTTAAGGCTTGATTTGTCATGACTCTCCCAATACCCAACCTGTGTGTTGGCAGAGGCATTGTTCTCAAATTAGCATTGGTGCCCTCAGCAAACACAGGATGTCCTAAAAGAGATCAGATGGAGCAGGGAATCTTCCAAACATCTGAAGACATCTAAATATCCACTGGACATCAGGAATGACTTTGCCCACTGGGGCATGAAGCATCCAAAGAACTTTGACCACTGAGGTTCACTAAGATCTTTCCATCTAATGTCCTTTGCCTTCTTGTAAGTCGTATATTTTTAAAAACCTGCTTTTCTTTGCTCCCTACTGATGGCCTTTTTACCCTCTGACTGCCAGCACCAAGGCGCAATAAATTCCATGCCGTGTTGCCTATACACAATCCTGGTGGTCTCAGCTGGTCCCTGCCTCATGCTATTCCTTAGGCACTCAGTTCCAAAGTTCCCAGTCTTTGACTGCCTCTCATTACATATTCAAAATTAACAGGTAATTGTTGTATTGCATTGTTTTGGTTTGGCTTGGTTTGGTTTTGGTTTTGTTTTTTTAGAGACTGGTGAGGCTGTGGAAAGCATACTCCAAAATGCAGCAAAGAATGCCAGCGGAGTAACATTTTACCCTGACTGCGCAGGATTTAGACAATGTAAGCCTTAGTTCATCAAGGGCAAGTCTTGTGGCCTGTTATCTCTCCCTACAGCCCCAGTGTCCATCCTAAGAATATTTCAAGGTTCTTTCTAAAGGTCAATTTCTGTCTTCCTTCCACTCCCACTCCATGGAATAGCCCATGGAAGACGGAGGCCACCAAAACTCCCAAAGGGAAGGCAGGGCCCTGGAAAATCTGTACTCAGCAGAACCCTCTTTGATATGCAACACCCCAGTAGGTCTTCTCGAGTTTGTCCCCCAACACTGCATACACATTTAGTGATGGAGTTTAAAATAAACCTCATTCCTGTGCTCCCCACCCACCTCTTCAAAACCCACTGCAGTTCAGAACACAAACATGCAACTAACCTTTGAATTAGCAATCAAAAAGCATGTTTTTAAGTATGAACAAAAACACATTCTTTGACTTGAGAGTAGGCACAGGCCAAGATAGTCTCCAGCCATGCACAAGCAGAAGCCCCCTCTGTTCAGTAATTACTCCTCATTGTAGCTGTTCCTAAAGGGCCTTTTAAAGTAGATAGATGCACACCACCTGTTTTCACTGGTAAAGAGGCTGTGCTAGACTTCTCTTAGTCTCACCTCCTCCTCCACTATGGCTAAGCTAATTTAGAGCTGGGCCAAGCTGGACAGCTGGGAAGAAGGTGTCAAAGGTCACATGCACAGAACCCAGGACAACATGGCTCTGTGGCTCCTGGGAAGTGTACATGAAGCAACTCAGAAAGTGTTATGTTTAATCTCTCATTTACGTCTGATGGGTAGCCAAGAAAGACTTTTACTAGGGCAGTTTAAATCCAGTGCCAGGTAGGGTGAGCTTTTGATAGAATAAACTGTCCCAATGTCTTATCTGAATAATGGGGAAGCCAATCAAAGAATTTTGGATACAAAATACTTTGCCTTAACCCTGAGGCCACTGAGAGTCTGCCCAGCATCCCACTCTCACTTAGTACCATGCTTCTCTTTCATGCCTACAGTAAAGTACACTTTTGCTGCCTTTTCTGCACATCGTGTCCAATTCTTTGTTGAGGATGCCAAGAACCTGGAAAGAAGCCCCCAGACAAACCATCTCAGAATCTTCAAGATCACCAAGCACAAGGCAGAAAGTATAAGTTAGATTATATCACTCACAATTACAACTAATAGCTCATTAATGATGACTTTATGCTACTTGAAATAAGTGGATTAGTTGTATCATTCCAGATAATGCTCAAAACAAATTTACGATGCCGGGACCAGCATTATCTTAGTTGATACATAGAGAAGTTCTAGGGAAGTTCTTAAATTCATTATGACCTTGTTGCTAAAAATAATGACAAAAATTTAAATTCAGGCTAATTTGGGGAACCCCAAGTCTATGAAACCATGCCAATTAAAATAATTATCAAGTATCAAGCTCAGGTAGTTTAAAAGTTCAGTTTCTAGTAACTAGGTTTTCCTGTTCTCCAGCACTTGAGATACGTGACCTCTCTAATGTCTGTCTGTCTCTAAAGACATCTTAGTCTTACAAACGATGACTCTATCCTGTCTTGACTCATAAAAACAGATTAAGATGATGTTTTTCATAATTTTTGAGTCCATAAATGGCCTGTCTCTTGCACCACCTGACTTCTTTTGGAATGTGTGTTCTCAGAGAGCTGAGTCCCAAGTTAGTGAACAAATTTGAAGTCCACTCAGCACTATGGCCTCAAATCTATGCAACAGGGCACTGAGATCCACAATACTCAGGCTCAAGCCACTTGGCAAGTTCACTGGAGACAGAAGACTGCTGGAGCAAGCAAGATATACCCATTTGCACACACACACACACACACACACACACACACACACACACATACACACACACACCAAAGAAGCATCCATTATAAATCCATTGCCATTTCTAAACAATTTCTCATGTGATCTTTTGAAAAACTGCCAATGCCAAGCCAGGTTTAACAACTGAGGATACAGGATACCCAGTTAATTTGAAGTTTAGCCTAATATAGCCAGATAGTAATATACAAAAAAAATTACTTTTTGTTAACCCAAAATTCATACTTACTACTCTGTATTTTATTGGGCAGCCCTGTCATGGTACTGATATTTTCTTTTTATCCTGGAAGTTATTTCTAAAGCTGTTCGTTTAAAAAAATTTTCACTAGTACATGTTTGCAGTACACAAGGATTACATTTATCATAGGGGATTTGAACATGTACAGTTGTACACAATGCATTTCCTTTTTCATTCCCTTCCCCTGTCCTCCTTCCAACTCGTTCCTTTTTTTTTAATTATTGGATTGATTGGTTGATTGACTGATTGATTGATTTTGGTCTTTTATATTTTTTAATATAAACTCCTGGAAAGAGATTAGCTTTTCCCTCAAGGCAGTACTGAAACCCTGACCTTAACCCCAGACTGAAATTCTGCACAGCTGCTCCAGTAGATAAATTCCATTGAGAGGCAGCATTTAATTACTGCAGACCAGACCCAGATGCTGTATCCAATCATCTTGGAAACGAGGCCTCCGAGATTTTGTTGCCTTGACTTTGCAACACCATCCCTTCCAAAAGGGGTCGAGAAAATATTTTGTCAATAAAGTGAATGAACCTTCTTTGGATTCAAATTTGTGAAGCACTCTTTGGCAAAATGGAAAAGCTCTAGGGTTTAGAAATCTGGAGACATAGATACAAAAATTTCTGACATATGTATTATTTGTATCACTAGAAATCTCCAAAAAGAACACCCAACTAGCAAAGCTGTAAAGATACCAATGAGAGTTGAGGAGCCTTCTTTCTTAGTCACTCTCCTAGAGGCACTTCTTGCTTTTCACACATTTCTAATTTCACTTGTTCTCTTTAGTCCTACAAATGAATTAAATTTAATTTAAAATTGAACTCTCAAAGGAATTATACCTTTGCAATCAATATATCAGATGCAATACATCTTGAAGTATATCAGATGCAAAGTTTCTTATGAGCCGCAAGAATAGAAAAGAACATGCACATTAATAAAGCAAAGTTGGAAAGCCTCCTTACCTGCCCACTGGCCCATGGATGGCAAGAAAGATGGGGGCACAGTTTTCCTGAAGCTCCGAAGAACACATTTGGAGAATCTCACACACTTCACCAGAAACGCCAGGCACACCAGCAGCCCTACAAGAATGAAGACGTGATCCAGAGCCTCCCCCATGATTACTGCTCCAGAGCAGAAACTGCTTCCAATCTGGCCCTGGCTGCCACCTCTAGCATCCAGGGGTGGAGCCACCTAAGGCCACACCCTTTCCTTCTAGAGAAGCCAGGGTACATTCCATTTATGCAGAGGCATTTAGATTATGTTCACTTTTTGCACAGCTCTCTAGCTGACAGGCTTCTGAATGAAGTATTCTTTCTGCTATCTCTGTAGCACGGGATGTCCCCTGTGTCAACTGTGCATTTGGTAGTGAAGAAAAACCAAACCTAGACAAAGAAAAGATGGCAGCCGGGGGGTCTTTTCCTGGATTGAAAAACTGCTGTGGTTTGGTCTCCCAAAAGTTCCTGTGTTGGAAGGTTGGTCCCAGAGGGTAATAGAATCATTAAGCGACAGGGCTTAGGGTGCTTCATTAAATTATTGTGTGGAAAGAGCACCCTCAGTGGGAAATATTGGGCAACTGGAGAGAATCCTTCCAAGAGCAAGTTGTTACAGAAGCCCGACCCTGACTCCTAAATATCTCCCTGACTTCTTGTTTGGACATGTGGTCCCTGCCACTCACATGTACTTGAATCATTTCTAATCTAACTCTGATGACCCAGCTCAAGGAGTCCTCACCAGAGCATACGCTATAATGGTTGTACCCTCAGCATCCAAAGCTTGACTAAGCAAGATTCTTTTTAAATAAAGTTAGCCCACCTTGAGTATTTTGTTATAACAATAAAAAGTGAATACAGGAACTACAAAGGATGCCAAATCCAAGTCACATCTAAATATATATATAAAGTAGCAAAATCTCTGCCCTAGATCTTAGATTTACTATAAGAAACAAACAAGGAAGTCAGATAATCTCAGTTATGAGAGAAGGGTAGAGCCACATGTGATTAGTCAGCAGAGTCTTTTTTTTTTAATTTTAAGGAGAAGAAGAAAAAAAATAACAGAAAAAGGGTACAAGTTATACAGAATTTCAGAAAAAATAAACAGTAGGAAGTCACTAGTTAATAGATTACATATTGTCATCTTAGAAATAGTTGTTCAAGTTACAAAATTAAAACATTTAAAGTGGACTTTCAAACAGTGAGAGTACAAGCAGTTCTGTTCAATGATCCAACAAAACTCAGTAATATGGTTACCTACCTTATACACTTCAATATATATACAGTTATGTCCTTCAGAGCACTTTCTTTTTCTCTCTTTTGTACAATGACAATTACACATTTTGGGTTTTATTACTCCCACAGTTCTTATTACTTTTCTTTGAAGAGAGTAAAACCAAATGTGACATAACAGAACAAAGTCAGTCAAATCAAAAGGATGGGTATAATACATAATGTAAAAACAAAATACAAGGTGATCAACAATAGTTACCATAATGCCTCTTGCTATCTTAAAAAGAATTGCCAATGTCATCAGTTATAATAAAATTGAACAAAACAGTAAAAAATAAAACCAAAACATTGGAGACATCACAGGACTTCAAAAGAAGACAATAGTCAACCAGAATGGGCGTCATAATGAATCTTATTGTCTTCACAGTTATGCTTATACTTTTGAACTTGGTACTATCAAGCAAAACAGAATAGAGGAAAATCAGTCAAAACAAGATGGTAAGAGCAATACAGGGTTTCAAATCAAGTTCATAGGAAATCAAAGTGGGTTAGTATAATATATCCTGCTATCTTTCTTTCATTTTTCCCTTAATTAAAAAGATAAAAATAAAAAAGTAAATAATAAAAAAGGAGATTAAGATAAAAGAGGGTATAACAACAAAACAGCACAGGTCAAAACATAACCATTTAAGCACAATAGTGTTTCACCACTAGATACTCCAACATAAAAATAGTTACCATAGTGTCTCTTTCCTTGAAATCTTTGAGTATAACTTCATATACTGTAGCACCAAACATAACAAGACAATGTAAAACCATTCAAGAGAATGACAGTATTACAGGGTATTTAGAACCAACTATCAGAAAATGAACAATGGTTTCTGTATAATCTCATTGTCTATAAAAGTTTTTGTTTATATTATCACATATAATAAAATCCAGTAATATACAACATGTTAAGACCGATGGAGACAGAAGAACAAAAGCTTGATGGGACTTCAAAACAAGATGATACTAAATCAGCATTAGCTATTATGATGTCTTGTTTTCTCCAAAATAGCTATTTCTACCATCCAACCTTCTCTGCCTCATTTCTGTTGAGCTCTTTTTCTGTCATTAGTTGTCAGTTTGTCTTCTTCATTTTGCTTTCTGTTCCATTCATTGTGGCCTCTCTGCCACTGTTTCTGGAATCTTGGTATTTTCCTTTTTTAGAATATCCTACAGTATTCTCTGTAGAGCTGAATTGGTGGTTGCAAATTTCCCTAGTTCCTCTTTATCCTGGAAGCACCTTGTTTTTCCATCAATTTCTAGGGACAGTTGTGCAGGATATATCAATCTTGGCTGGAGGTTATTATCTTTCAAAGCTTGAATTATTTCCCCCCACGCTCTTCGTGATTTGATGGTTTGTGCTGAGAAGTCTGCTGCAATTCTGATGGGTGTTCCCTTGTAAGTGATCTGTTTATTGTCTCTGACGGTTTTTAATATTCTGTTCTTATATAGGATTTCTAGAATTTTGATTATTATATGCCTGAGTGTAGCTCTGTTTGGGTTGTAGGTGGCTGGGATCCTGAATGTCTCAAACATCTCAGTATCTTTACCTTTTGCTAAATTAGGGAAATTCTCTTGGATTATCTCTGTGAATAGCTTTTTTAGTTCATCTGTTTGTGCCCCTATTTCTTCTTTTATGTTCTTAATTCTTAAGTTATAGGTCCTCTTATCATCTTCTAGCCTTTGTATTATTGCTGTTTCTTTTCTTATTTTTAAGAAGTTTTTCATTTCATGCTCCCACATTACAAATCTGCCCTCCAGTTCAGATAATCTATCCTTAGTTTCTTTCAAGCTGTTATGCCAGCTTTCAGTAGAGTTTTTAGTTTCCTGGTAATCTTTTTGAACCCGCTTCACATATTCTATGTTTTCTCTATTTTCTCCATCAAACAATTCTCCCCTTTTTTTCTGTTCTTCCATTCCATCATCTGTTTTTTCTTGGGTGGTGCTTGGCATTTCTCTAACTATTCTACTTATATCTTGCTTTATTTTGTTGACTACTTCACTTTTGAACTCGTCTATGAGACTCTGGAAATATCGCTTTATGTCCATTGGTGCTGTGTCTGATATTGCATGTTTTTTGTCCTCATTCTCCTTTGCATTTACCTTTCTTGGATCAGTGTTCTCAGGATCGGGGTCTGAGGACCCTTTCTTGTTGCTCCCTCTTCCCATACTTTTTGTTCTTTCCATACAAGCATATATAGGAGGCCCAGTTTTTTTCTTTGTCAGTTACAGTTTGTTTGAATCTGCTGGCTAGGTGTTCCCGCCCACTGAAGTGTACTAGGGAGACACAGACCTGGGCAGCCTCTGCTGGGCCCACTCCTCCAGGTCTGTCAACCTACTGAAGGCTTCATTGCTAGGGTGCACCACCAGGCGCTGGGACCTGGTTTGGGCTAGCCTACTGGGTCTTAGTCAGCGGCGTCACCCAGGCCAACCACTCCACATCAATCCCACTTGAGAGGGGAATATGCGACTAAAGTCACTGCAGCGTCCTATTCCGGCTAGTCTGCCTGGTCCCAGAATGTCCTCTTTTGGAGCCTCCTAATATATGGAAGGATGCCCATTCCTCTCACTCACTGCAGGTCGATGCAGAGCTCCCCACTAGTCCCGCTCTGAACTCTGTTCCCCGATTCCGGCTCTCAGAGCTTTCGCGCGTCTCTCTCCCTGTTGTGCCGATTTGGACGCAACAGCAGCAGCAGCAGCAGCAGGAAATTCAAATCGCAGCTTCCAGAGGCATGGGTTCCAGCTTCTGCACTGAGATTTTATCTGTTCCAGTTATAGCACTGGGACTGCATTTCCAGTTGGTTTCTCTCAGCTTAGTTCATTCCTGGGTCAGCAAGGTATATCTCCCCTTGCTGAGGACTCCTCACACAGCACCATTCCTGGATTCTAAGCTGGGTATCTCAGAGAGCCTCCATAGCTGTTGTTATCTATCTTCCATGTTCTCCCAGAAGCTCTAGTCAGCAGATTCTTTAGAAGAGTTTCATGCAAAAATTCTGTAAAAAGGTGACTTTTGGGGTTGAAATTTGAATGAAAAGAATAATCCAACCCTGAAAATGTGAAAGTCCCTTCAGGCTGATGGGTCAGCTAGTTGAATCCCCTGAAGTGGGAAAAAAACAAGGTATTTAAGTAATAAACAGGACAAATAGCAGAGGAAGGGAAAAGAAAACCAGAGGAAGGTTGACCAGCCAGGTCCTCATGGTCAAGCGTTTGGAATTAGCTTAATAGAAAGCTCAGGAATTTGAGTTACTTAATATGAACCACACATCCAAAAGGCAACTAGATATTTCCTCCTTCTCATACCACATAGTAAAATACCTCCTTAAAAATCCCTCCTCTATACTTTGGAATTACATGGTCTCAACTCCCTGAGCTTTAGGTAATAAAATTACTGTTGAATGCTTTTATTTTTGCCATTAGGAGGAGACATAGCTATCATATTTAGTACGTATTAGCTGAGTTCAATACTTGGGTTGTTATGATGCTTACACTACCATGTATTTTGTCTTGTTAACTTTCTCCTTACACAAACTAAATATCCAACATCCACAAGTAAGAAAGGAAAGGTTTATTTAGCTCACAGCTTGAGGAGATTTCAGTCCATACTCTGCTAGCCCCCAGAGAGGGTGGCTTGGCAGAGGGGCATCATAGAGGAGAACCACTTCATAGCAACCAGAAGACAGCAGAATCATGCAAGCAAAGGAGGAAACAAGCCTTGTATTATATCCAGACTACCAGGAGTAGAGGGTATACCAAAGCAATCAGTGGACTGTTTTAGCAATCACATACCCTTAATCTCAGCATCATACACTCTAAATTCAGCCACCCCTGAAAAAGTCATGCCTATGACCGAATGAGGCTTTGAGGGGACATCTAGACACAAGCCATGACATATTTCTTCTCTAGGCTCAAAGGAGATCCAAAATCAGGTCTGCAGTTATATTATATCTCAACTTACCTTGATAGATAACACTGAAACTGATTTGCTTGTTACTACTACTGTAGCTGATTTAATTGTATAGGGCTACTCCTGGCTCAATGCACAATTTTGAGCCAAAGAATGTGTCTACTGATTCCACCATTACACCCGGGGAGAGGGACACAAGAATTCCTAACCCCCAAACTCAAGACTGGATCAGGCTCTGAAAGTGTGCTTGCAACCTGGAGGAGATAAGTTCCGAGTCTGAGTTAGCTTGAGTATTTCAGTGGGATCAGGGATCAGAAGACCTACTGAAGCCAGGGCATGCAGACTCTCTGGTAAAGAAGCTACATGGGAATCATATACACACCGTCTTTCTGAAACATTTAAACTGGGTTCCCATTGGATATCTTTTAGGTTTGCACTTTCATTTGTTTCTTTATTTAGTAATGCAGGATATGTTATGTTCATTTCGGGTTTTCTGTGTTTATTAGGCTTTTGATTCTAGGTGTTTTTTTCCCATTGCCTCTGATTTAATATATATCTAGGTTCTGTGCCTTATCTCAGTTCCCTGTCTAGTTTCTTCACCTCAAAGCCCCAAAGCAATGCTGTTACTATATTTCTTTATTCTTTTCCCAAGTATATAAACTTCTCCAAATTTTTAATTTCCCATACTTAGCTTCTCTTATCTCCCCTAGTATTAATCCTCAGTCCTCTCCAGCCTACACCTATGACTCTTCCATAACTTACCTATTGTCCTCCATATCAGCAGCTTCTGACAACCACAGTTTTCTTCAATCACAAAGTAAACCTCCTTTCTCCCACGCCTCACTTTTAACCCCACAAATAGACTGTTAAAACTCTGACACTAACCCTTCAACTCAACTAAAAGTACTTCAATAAAATCAGAGCCCACATCAAACTTTTCTTCTCATCTATCACTGTTCCCCTTTCTCCCTAGTGTCTTCCATTCCTCATCCAACCACTTTCCATCCTCCTCCCTCCACCTCACCTACAGCATTGCAAAACTACTACAAATAAATAGTTATGGTGTGAATACAGGATAGAGAAAGGCAGGAAGCACAAATGCAAGGACTGTCATATAGCCATGTTGTATGTTTCAATCTGTTTGTGCTGCTATAAACAGAAGTAATCCTTTCTGCAAAACATAGGGACAGAGTCCAAATCACTTAAAGTAAATAACAGAAAGAGGAAATAGCACTGGAATTACAAATCTGAAAATTATTCATGTGGAAGCAATATGCCACTAAATCTCCATATAAGTCACAAACTCTTCTCACTCTTCAAGACCTCAACCTGGATCAAACTTCTCCACAAAAAGGAAGGGGAAAATAGGAGGGCATAAATGAAATATATATATATCCAAAAAACCCAGATATACATTCACATAGGAACATGAGGAAACAACACAACACAAGTCCTCCAAGTTCCTCCAACTCTCCCAAGGCAGAGAAAGAGATCCTGAAGTGAGAGGAAACTAAATATCAGATACCTGAACTCTATGAAGTTAATGAAGGGGTGAAGAAAATGGTAAGTTCAAAGAGAAAATGAATTGAAAGGTCAAAGCAGTTTCTCTCAATATATGCACAGTAAATACAATGGAAACAAATTTTAAAAACTATCCAAGCTAACCAAAACAGTTCAAAACTTGAATACTATACTCACAAAAATACATAGAATTCTCAAAAAGATGTCAGAGAGAAATGCCTAAAGTTTAAAAAAAAACTGTATGGCATTCATAACTTGCAGAGATAACCAATGTGAAGAAAGTGTCTAAAATAGAGGACAAATTAATGACTCACACTGAAGTACTCAAAGAAGCCACATACACACAAGAGAAGCTTATCCAGCAACTACTAGGTGAAATGAAAAGATGAATGTAAGACTACCTGAAGTTAGATAACATACGTAGGTTTATTAACATGTTTACTGAAGTCATAGAAAAAAGTCCTAATATATTCTTGTAGTCCAAAAATGAGCCCCTACCCCCCCAACCTTGAATCCAAAAATGGGGCAAGACATGTTTTTAAAAAGCAGCGCTGATTTATTTTATCCTGGGCCCAGCAACACAGTGCAGTTGGAGTTTGCAAAAGCTGTGTGTCTCCCTCAAAACTTTTCAGACTTTTTGAAGAAAGCACAGTTTACAAAGTAAGGGGTTATGGATGTGGACCAGGAGATGAAAAATCTTTGATCTGCTAAGGAATGGAGAAGACCTTTGTTTCCCTTCACAGAGGACAGAGAAGTCCCACAGGAATTAACAATCCTTTGTCAACTTATTTTAGCACTCAATTTTAGTTAACATCTGTCATTTGCAGAGGGCAGCAATGCTTAACATATCAATTAGCTCAGATTCCCAGGAATTTACAGTTCTTTGCAGAGGGGAGCATTGATTAACATATCAATTAGGTCATCCAGAAAAATGGCACATACAGAATAGTATGAAGACATTACAGGTACTTTGGTCATATAACTTAGGCATAACACAAACATAACGAAGCTCTTTTTGCTAGTGTACAGCATATATGAAAAACGTTTAAAATAAAACTAAGCAACCCTTACAGAACTCAAAACAAATATGACCCAAAAAGAAAAAAACTCATCCTTATTTAATTATCAGATATCCTGCCATAAAAACCCTACAATTTTAAAAGCAATGAAAGAAAAAAAGTCACATATAAAGGTAAACCAATTTGACTTACAGCAGACTTCTCAGCATAAACCTACTGGCCAAGAGAGCTTGGAATTCAGTGATTCAAGTCCTACGAACAAATAGTTTCTAACTCAGATTAATTTATCTAGCAAAGCTATCATTCAAAATAGATGGAGAAATAAAGTATTTCCATGAAAAATATATACAATTGCGAAATCAGCACTTGAGAAAATACTTTAAAAATATTCTAGACAGAAACAACAAAACCAACACAACTAAAAACAGAGAGGAAACAAAAACTCCAAGTAAGGCAATTGATAAATGACAATACAAAATATCAGGAAAAGAAAAACAAAGGATTCATCAACAGATAAAGAAAACAATAATAGTGAATAGTCAACATATCTCAGTAATATCTCTCAATATTAATAACCTCAAAACTCCAATTAAAAGACACAGACCAGAAGACTGGATCACAAAACAGAATCCAACAACCTGCTACATTCCAGAAACCCATCTAATTCAGAAACATAATTATAAACTAAAAATCGAAGGATGGAAAATGTTTCATATACCAGGACCTCTAAAACAAGTAGGGGTAGCAATTCTAATGTCATACATGGTAAATTTCAAGTTAAAACTGATTTGAAGGACCAAGGATTTCACTTAGTTGCACAAGTGCCTGCCTGGAAAGTGCGAGGTTGTGAGTTCAATCCCTGGTATGGAAAAAAAAAACTGATTAGAAGCATCAAAGATTGTCACTATATATTAGTTCATGGAACAATCCAACAAAAAATTATAACATTGATAAATATGTATGAACAGGCAAACACTGGAGCATTGATCTTCGTAAAACAAAAGTTGATGATATTAAGAGATCAAATAAACACTAACACAATCATAGTAGGAACTTTAACATCCCACTTTCACAAGGAGACAGATCACTAAACAAAAAGTCAGTAAACAAATTATAGAGCTGAAACACACCCTTGAGCATATGGGCTTGAAGGATATATAGAGAGTATTTCACCCATCTACAGTAGAATACACATTCTTTTCAGCAGTACATCATACTTTTTCCAAAATAAATCACATATTAATCCACAAAGCCTAGTAAAATAAATATGAAAGAATATAAATTACCCCATGCATACTCTCTAACCACTGTGCAATGAAAATACAGATTAAGGACACAAGATATTTCAGAAAAGGCAAAGCTCCTAGAAAATTAACAACATACTCCTAAATAAGCAGTGTTCGCAGAAGAAATTAAAAATCCTCTGGAAGTTAGCGACAATGACTACACAACTCACCAAAACCTCTGGCACACTATGAAAGCTATTCTAAGAGGAAAATTCATCACAACTGTAAATGTTTGAACCTCATCCAGATTCAGTGTTCATATATAGTAATCCCTGGGAAAGTTATTAGAATTCTCATGAGTAAACCCCAACCTACCACTTTAAATGTAACCCACAGTGAGAAAAAAGAGGCAGAAACATATCTGCCAAAGAATCCTAAGCCCAGTCAGAACAAAGGTGAACTGGACCAAAGGCCACAACCCAGGGCCAAATCTGACTTTTAATCATTTGTGAACAGAGCAGTGGCTCAGAGTTGACTGACTGTGAGAATGGCAGGAACTACGTGAATTTTGTAAGCTGAGCTAGGTAGGAGGAACAATGGCACCTCCTCAATGCACAGAGAGAGGTATGCAGAGAGAGTACTAGATTCCAGTAACAAGTAGCCTCTAAGTCTGTAGCAATCCGCAAACACCGTTCCAGGAGGTATCTTGTGTTTTGGGTTGGTTGCCTCAGTTCTGATGCTGACCTTTATCTGCCCTGAGATATCACTGCTTCTTTTTCAAAGCTCTATCCCAGCCAGTAACAACACTTAGTTTATGCATAGTAGGAAGGAGCCTGAGGCAGGTGGCACACAGACCTGGCACTTTGCTTCAACAGCTACACATTGGCACCTCAGCTAGACTCATTTGCACTGCTTACAGCGTCTCCCTAGTGCCAGCTCTGTCCATATCAGTTGGTGGGAGCAGGGCAAAGGTGAATTAAAATGGAGGCAAACTGTCTTCTTTTGGGGGTGTCATCTTGGTGGTTCTCCACAACAATGAATGCTCATAATAGGGAAAAAGAACAAGACAAATAAGCAACCTTCTCTGAGGAACAACAACTAGCCCCAAATAGAAATTAAGGAGGAAAATGATAATGATGACAGCAAAATTCAATAAAATTGAAATTAAAAAGTTATTAAAGAAATCAATGAATTAAAAAGCTGGTTCTTTGAAAAATAAATAAAACAGATAGGCCCTTGGTCAGACTTAGAAAGAGAATTTGAAGAAAGACTCACACCAGTGCAACTAGAAATGAAAAGTATGAAATCACAACAGACACTGTTGAAATCTAGAAGACAGTGTAAGATCACCGTCACGAAGAAGACCCCAAGGAACCAGCTCTCATGAAAAATCAAGGGGTTTTATTATCCGTGCATGCATGGGACGCTCCAACCGCACTCCGGTGCCGAGAGGGGAGAGTGCCCGAGTAAGGGAGTGCAGAGTATATAAAGCCGAAAACCGCAAAGCAAGCGTCGGTTACAGAAGCAGATGGCTTGATGTTTTTGAAAACTCATATACTGTCTGGCAGGGTCAATATTTCACGGTGCTTTTATTTTTGGGAACGTTGGACCACAGCTTCCCTATCAGGCCAGAACATCTGGTTGTTCTGACCGTGTGACAAGGCAAGAGGCGTTTCCTGAATGTTTTAACTCTTCAACAGTTAGCAACTACTTTAAGAAATTTCATTCCAATAAATTACCAAATTTAGGGTGCTGTCCGGCTGCCAGCATGATTTCAGAATAATAAAGCATCATGGCTTCCCATCGACTGCCATTTGCCGCCCAGGAACAATCCGTCTCCCCTCAACCCCGACATCCATCACCTTGAAGGACAAGAGACTGTGTAATGTCTCTCCAGTCCCATCAGGTAGGTCCTCAGGGCTTTGTCCCTGACAAGGTGGGTAGGGTGCTCCCTACTAAAATGTAACCCAGGGAGGCTCCTTGGACGCAGCCTGGGCAGGGCGAGGCAGAGGCTGGGAGTCCTCTCCATGATGAATGTAGCGCACTGTGACTCACAGTTCAAAGCAGAACATATTGTCTTGGACTTCCGGTGTCATGGCTCTGGTCCTGAACACATTGTGGAGTTCTTCAGCTCATTAGACCACCTTCGGAGACTTCTGCCGGCTGTGGGCTGTGTGGGAAGGACACTGGGACACCTGGAAGCCTTGCAATGCAACTGGAGCACCTGTGGGCGTGGCAGACTGTGGCAGCCCAGGACGGGAGCCACCAGTGTTTACTAGGACCCATGCCATCCTGGGACCTAGAGCACTGGGAAATCTAGCAACCCACTGTCCCCCAAGCCCCGTGAGGGGCTGTGAGCCTGCTGTGAAAATCAAACATCATATCCACCCACTCCCATTTAGCAAGTGGGAGCCGGTGATCTGGACATCCCTTGAGATGCTGACCACAGGCAATGCAGCAAATAGGGGGATTTCCTTTTACCATCTCTTTGAAGAAAAATACTTTTATCCTTGTTTCACTTTGTTCTAATTAATGGTGTTATTTTAGCCTGTTTTGTTTTGCTGAACTTCAATATACATGATAATATGGACAGCTATTTTGAAGAGAATGAGACTCTGAGACAGCCATTAGTGACTTCTCTGTTGTCTGGTTTTGAAGACCTAAAATGCCTTCCTCATTCTGTTTCAGATCAGTTTTATACTATGTTGTTTTGTATGAATTCTCTGTATGTGAAGATATGGAAGATTTGGAAAAAACAAGCGACAATATGATAGACAGTGATGGCCTCAGGTCGTCTAACTTTGGAATTTATATCTCTTGCATTGCTTTCTTATGTCCTATTTTGTTCTGTTTTGTTGTGTTTAATTTTACCCCCTTTAAATAAAAATTTTTAAAAATTACCAAATTTTGAAGAAGTGATCAGACTTCTAGACTCATGCAAATCACCAACGCTAACCCACAAAGACATAAATACACTTAACAACCCAATAACAAGCAAAGAAATTGACATGGTAATAGTCTACCAACTAATAAAATCCCAGTGCCTGATGAATTCATTGAATTGCATAAAACCTTTGAACATGTATCGCCAATACTCCTCTGCTGAGGACCAGCTTGACACAGGTGAAGAGAAGACAGTGACTGATATTAATTAATTGACATAAAATAAATTGAGTCAGTCCTAGGCCTAAGTACTTGTGATGAGGCCAGTGGCTGGTGCCAAAATGAACTTAATCCTCAGGCCAAAGGCCAGGATTAAAATTGACCTAAGGTTTATGAAGTCCTTGTGCCTCAAAACAAGACAAACACTACAGTTGAGGACTTTGACTCATCCAAATTCCTTCTAGCTCAGCAGTCTAGTTAACAGATAATCAGATTGCTAGTTAATCATGACCTGTTCCTGTGTGCTTTTCCAAAAAAGCTTTGTCCCTCAGGCTCGGAGCCTTGCCTGTATCATCAGTGCATACACATCATTTTCTGCAGCCTGCCACCACACTCCCCTCCCATCAAGCTGTGTACCTACTAAAAGCCAGGGACACCACGTCTCAGGGTCTTAGTCCTTCACTAGGCTTTGATCATCTTGGTTCATCTTGTAACTGAAATATATACATCTTGTCTGTGTTTTATTCTTCTGTCATATCCTTGAGCAAGATATCAGTGGTTCTAGGCCAGGGCCCTGATAACTGGAATTCAATGTGGGGCTATAATTGCCTACTCAGAGATGGGCACCTTGAGTGGACACCATTGGAGAGCCGGGATGATGATAGAATTGCATGTGAAGAAAAATGGGGGCACCCAAAAAGTGAGGTAAGGTAGTTGGAGTCTGCAGGCTTACCTTGATTCAAGCAGGCCCTTAATTCAGAGGTTCATGTGCCAACACAAATTCAAAAATCTCTTAAACAGGCACATGGCAGAGGAGAAATACTCCCCTGAGATCTCTCAACTTGGAATTCAGTTCACTCGGGTTTAAATCCATTGTGGAGCTTGCAACCATCAGCTCCTGTTTCAGACACAGAAAAAACTAAAATGCTCCCAGGAGAGGTTTCCACCCCCCAAAACAGAGCATCTGTGGGAAGAGCTGACTCCCCAAGCATGAGAGTCTTTATGAAGTGATCAGTCACCAGTGCGGGAGATGTTGGGAGAGGTACCAATTCGATCTGAAAGGGTCAGGA